TTGGAAAGATACCAGTTTGTTTCACACTTTCCCGCGCCCGCAGTTAGCATTCAAGATGCAGTTCGAATTTGCGTGCAATTAGCTTTGGAAAACTCCAAAGTTTTGAAAATAAAAGCGGTTGAATTGGACACTCATGGCCACTTTCCAATAATTGAAAACTTCGTAGAGGCCATCGAAGATCTTCCTCTAATCACTGGTGATTACGTATTTCTGTCAAATCAAGTACTAGAAGATATCCCGAAAGTGGTGCATGTTGAAGATGCAAAGTTACTTACACAAAAAAATTGTCATTTTATAATAATAAGCGCACTGTGCGGTGAGTTGAACGAATTGGTTCTCACCCAGACCTCTAAGTCATTAGTGGAAAGAGGTTACTTGGTTGTGCGTATTAATAATTCGTCTGGTAAGATTAACTTAAAAATTCCTGATGATTTTAAAATGGTTGCCGATTTACCGATCGAGAACACTGACGAAATCATTTTATTGCTACAGTGCAGAGGTTCGAAGAAGTTCTCCCTTGAACCAACTGTTGTTGAAATTAGTGGGTCCGATAAGGAGTTTACGTGGCTTATTCAATTGAAACAATCTGTTAATAATAAGACTCCAACCGTTGTATACGCATACAATGAAAAATTAAATGGTCTAATTGGTTTAGTGAACTGTCTGCGTAAGGAACCAGACGGGCAATTAATTACGTGTTTTTTTATAAATGATAAAAGTGCGCCGGCATTCAACATTAATGCACCTTTCTATGCCGCACAATATGCTCTTGGTTTAGCCGTTAATGTTTACCAAAACGTAAGTAACACGCATTAAATGATAACACGCTCATCAGTTTTGAAAACTATTCGATTAACTTTAATTACTCAGGGCAAATGGGGCTCCTATCGACACCTTCTGCTAAACTCTGATATCCAAATCGCACCAAGAAAGAATCATGTTTATGGCAATGTTCTGCAAAGGGGAGATCTTTCGTCTTTACGTTGGTTCGAAGGTCCATTGAAACCTGAGGATTGCGACATAAAAATTGCTTATTCATCAGTAAATTTCCGTGATATAATGCTTGCTACTGGGCGCTTAGCTGTTGAGCTATATGGCGATAGTCGTCTGGATCAAAGTTGCGTTTTAGGCTTTGAGTATTCCGGCATTCATATGAAGACCGGGCATCGTATTATGAGTATGGTTGTAAAGGGAGGAGTGGGATCATATGTTGAAAAGCCCTCCAGACTTATTTGGGATGTACCAGACAACTGGTCTTTGAAAGATGCTGCCACTGTTCCCGTAGTTTATATAACCGTGTACTATGCATTTTTCATGATTTCTGATATACGTAAAGGAAAAAGTATCTTAATCCACGCCGGTACAGGAGGTATAGGTCTTGCAGCCATACGAGTTGCGTTAGCCTATAATCTGGAAGTTTTTACTACCTGCAGCACTTCTCAAAAGAAACAATTTCTGCTGGAAACTTTTCCGCAACTTAAAGGTATGCAGGAGTTACTTTGCGTTTTAAGCACAAATATTTATCGTTTTTCCATTTTTCGTGAAACAGAGAATCACATTGGGAATTCGCGAGATACTTCATTTGAACGTATGATTATACGAGAAACTGAGGGCAAAGGCGTCGATTTTGTTTTGAATTCACTATCAGAAGATAAATTGCTGGCTTCAGTACGCTGTTTGGGAATTACTGGACATTTTCTTGAGATCGGAAAATTTGACATGGCAAACGACACCAAACTCGGGATGAGTTGCTTTTTAAAAGAAATCAAATTTAATGCTGTTTTAGCCGATAGATTATTAATTGCTTCGGATGAAGA